CATCTCTGCGGTTGCTCCTAAGTCTTATTTTTATTTCATGTCTTGGGGGTGGAGAATCGTCCAAATGGACACGCAAAAGAGGAAAGTCAGGATAATACTTGTAGGCTATGTTATGAACGATTTTCTGAAAGCTGTTAGTGTCTTAGCTCTGGGACTGTAAAGCTTGAAACCCCTTGCTATAGAGCGACATTTCTTGATCTATAGTACGTACTTTTGTAATAAAGCACCTGTCAAGACAGACACGCCCCTTTGCAGAAGTTTCACTTCGTCAAAGTAAGCGGAAAGACATTGATGTGGAATTTCGCCGTTGTTCTTGTCGGCGAAATACAAAAACATCTCCCCACGGACAGGTAAGTAATGGTTATGTATTCTTCCTCTACACTCAAGGAATGCTGAAAGTTTCGTTTTACGTAAGTAAGTTTACAGCTCGATTTAACATTTCCATGTCTGCTGTTTTGACTATCAAACCTTATTTAAATATATGTCACTTTTAATGCATTTAAATATGGGCTACGCAGTACTCAACATGCTTGATATACTTCTTTTTGTGTCTAATGCACTCAGTCTTTTTTTTCTTCAATAGTTTGTTGTGATGCAGGGTGAGGGTTCATGCCCTCAATGCCTCACAGAAGATGACATGATGACAGAGGGGGATCTGGGTGATGGCATGGGGGCCAGATCCAGAGGACATCATGACCATCTCCCACAAATAAAGAGCAGGGGGAGGTTTCTGGACTTCTTGTCCCAGTCACGGCCAATCAAAGGGGGCAGCGAGAGAAGCAATGGACCATTCTCCTGGACATCATGCAGAACTATGTATGCTGTTTTTAGGGAAGAACTGGAAGCTGAACGAGTTGCACAGCGGGAGAAAAGACAGTCTGGTTAGTTTTCTGGACTTTCATTTAAAGTAATTTAAACCTGTCAAACCTCTTTGATTCCTTCATGGACACAGAGCAGACTAATCTATACTGTATGAACCACATAATAAGTGAGTTATGTTTAAAAGCTTTACAAAGAGGATAACTTCCTGGTAATATACTCCAAACTCTGTAGGGGTTATTATTCGCATGCTCTGTTGATTTGTGGTGTTTGGTGAAGTTAACACCTGATATTTCTTATCAGGGAGTTGACTTTGTGTACTCCCTTGAGCAATTCTTAAACAAATATTCAACAATAGTCATTTGAGAACCACACTACTACCAGGATATGATGTGTTGGCAATAGAAAACCATGTGCCGACATGCAAAAAACAAAAGTATCTTATTTTCTAAATGTAACGGCATTCTTTTGTAGAAAGCTCCTCTGAGGACACAAGTGAAGAGCTGCAGAGAAGACTACAGGAGGTCACAGAGGTAAACTCACAGATTTGCACTAATGAATGTAATAAATATAATAAAAGATAAAACACAATAATTTGCCATGTCTCACACATTAGAGTCACAGAAAAGTGGCTCCTTTATGAGTTTTTTTAATGGAGTAAAAAAAGATTTATCTTTACAAATGAACATGTCTCAGGTGTATGCAAATCTTCTTCGCTTAATATCAGGAAGTGGAGCTGTTACGCACCGAACTGGAGGTCACTCATCGCCACCTGGAGGGGAAACATGAGGCTCTTAGGATCTTGCAAGGACAGGTATTTAAAAATGTTATGATAATTAAAATCATTATTGTTTAATTGAAATCTAATTTATTAGCCTATAAGTCATTTATGAAGTGTGCTACATTTTGTCCTTGAAGGCAATCTTGGACAAAGCTACTTGTCATACTAAAATTATGCTTCAGAAGAGTGAAGAGAGGACCAAGGCCCTTGAAAAGGTGTCCTACTCAAACAACTACATCTTAAAAAAAAAAAAAAATTGAATTCAAGCATATCCTGAAAATAGGGTCTCATTCCTGTGAAATTGTTTCCACACAGGAGGTTAATGCACTGCAGTGGGAGATCACTTTCAACCAGGTGCAATTCAAGAATGTGGAAAACTCATGGAGTTTAAAGTATGAGAGGTATACCCATGCAAAAAGACTATCAGTTATTTTGTAAAAGCATGTTATAGATGTTATGAACAGTTCATCCATGTTTCATTTTTTGACCTTGCAATGTTTCATCAAAATATCATAACTGGGCCTTCCAAATATTTAGTGCACCCTGCAAGCTTGTGTCCTGTCCATCTGTTTCTACTTGTGAGGGCAATGCCCAGACCTCAAAATCCAGTCAACAATTAATGGATAGAACCAAGTCTCCATTCTACGTTTTTCCCCCAATAATCTGTTACCCTCGGATATACGTCACAATGGTCACAATACAGAAGAAAAGATTTGCTGCTACTTCCATTTCAATGTGAAATGCCATCTGCAACCCATTTTGCTTTATTTTGATTTAAAAAAAGAGTCCTTTCTAATATTGTATCCATTGATTAAGACTTTAAATATGCATTAAGGAACTATAAAAATGCCCACATCTCACTGGTTCATGTAAATACCACCTCAGGGTGTTGGCAGAAAATGAAGCCCTAAAGAAAGCACTAGAGGAGAAAATGAAAGAGCACATGGAGCAAAGGACAGAGAATGCATGTAAGTCGCATCGTATTTCCTACTTTTATTTGATGACCCAATAACTGGTTTGTTCCCAGTACATATTTATGCATTCTGTGTCTTAGCTCTGAGCCAAAAATGTCTGGAGCTCCTGTCGATGCTTAGTACTAAGGAAAGAAGGGACTTCCAGAGGACCCAGCCTTCCTGCAGCCTCAGAACAGACGGTTCAGCTCTAGAGGTAATGTTGGTGAATTGTAGTCTGTGTTAAATAGCTCTGTTCTGTAGTAAACAAACAGCTCTCTGTCCTCTTATCTTGTTGTTAAGTTGGCAGTGTATGGGGCATGCCAGTGTAACTCTAATGGGGGCAAGCCATGCTCTTGTGCTAGAAGTGCTGCTGCAAGCCGTAAACAGGTTCTCCAGCTCAAGCAAGAGGTACTCGTCTTGTATTTGTCAATACTTCAGTTCCATTACCTTGTAAATTAACCCTCTTATTCAGCCAATGCATGTATTAAAACCAATACAGGGCTGGCTTTGCTCATTTGTCTTTGAGGGTCTTGTAACACAGTTTATTTTTCTGCATTAGCTGGAGGAGCAGCAGAAGAGGAAGGAGGAGGCTTACGTCATGATGGATGCTTTCCGTATCGCCTTTGAGCAACAGCTCAGGAGAGTCGGTGAGAACGTGCTCCGACAGGCTGAGACAGACAGACACCAGCCGCATAACCAAAGACATGAGAGGGGTAAAGGGCTGTTCAGTTTTATAGCTAAAACCTGAGGATGGTGCCAAATCATGACATGCAGTGCAACGTATTTCACCTTCATTGAAGATATCCACAGAAAGCTTACCTAAGATTTAGTGTCAGTAAAATGTCAAATCACCAATCAAATCTGACAACGATGTTATTGTAAATTGTGCTTTTTTTTTGGTTCAAGTGAAAGCCCAGTGTTATTTTAGTATTATTTAAATGCTATTGTAGGTTTTATGAATATTTTGAATTAGCTCTTGTTTTTATGTTTCGTTTTTGTTTTTATTTCAGTTTAATTTTTAGTAATTTTGTAATGTGCTTTCATTACTATTATTTTTATTTTTTATTAAATATTATTATTCAGGTAATTGTAGTGTCATGTGGCACAATGCTGTAATTTTATAATGGGATTCTTTTTATTTCCAGTAATTAATTTTTATTTTTATTTCAAAGAGAAGCGAGGGTCTCTCAGTGTAGGTGAAAGACTCAAAAAAATTCTGCCCACAACAAGCGAAGAGAAGATAACAGCCGATTCAAATGAAACACTGCATATGCTGCTTGATCTGGTCAGTACTATATTTTACTCTATATATTCCCTCACATTACATTTTGAGTTCACTAATTTTAAATTGTCTTCCTCCTTCAGTTAAATGACAAAGAAGAGGCCTTGGCACATCAGAGGAAGGTGAGCTACATGTTGGCACGAAACACTGAAGACTTGGAAAAACGTCTCCAGATGCAGCTAGAGGAACTGGAACCCTCACACAAAGACAGTAAAACAGAAACAGAGGCTTTTGAGGAGAGTGAATGGAGCAGAGAAGGAGACGGTAGTTGCTCTGTAGACAGCCATGGATCACAACACCTCACTGTCCCTGACAGCCCTACAGCTGATGATGAGCAGACCTCCAAATCCACCGAAATTAGAGAAACTAAACCTGACAATAAAGATATTTAAAAAAAGAAGGAAGTTTCATGTTGTATTTTTTCGAAAGTAAAAATGCCTGCATTATCTTCATATTATATGCATACTATTACCTAGAAACTTGGACAGCAGGTAACCCAGAATAACCTAGGATAACAGAACCAAAATTACCCATAATTCTAACCACAAACTTGCAATAAAATAAGAGTTGATAGGATCCATAATGCACATCTAAATAGATTAGAAAAATAAATCCTACCCATCCATGCATCAAAAGCCAACAAACAAAAAATCTGAACAGAATGACATTGCTAACAAAAACTGCTATCAATCTTTCATTTGTGTCTCGACAGCGAAACAAAAGTTTTTTTTTTAGTAAATCTTTGGACAAAATTGATTGAATGTATGCTTTTCAATTAGCCTTTTGATCCAACAGCGCTTGCAATTATTGTTTGTAGATTAAAAGTGCCTGTGTATACATTTCTTTACAAAATAAAAAAAAATCATACATTTCAACAATATTTGCCACAAGTGTGTTAAAATAATATTTACATTATCAGTATTTACATTTTTTACTTCTAAAATATTTTGCTAGATTCGACAGTAAAAGTACATGTATTTAAAACATATCTTCATTATTATTAATAATAATTAATTGATAATAATAACCAAACCTTTGACTGGTACTGTACTACATTTCGACGTGGAAAGACCATAGACTGTAAAAAAGGGACAGACGTAGTGAAAGCAGCAAGCGCGATGTGCAGAGGACTGAATAACTACATATCCCATAATGCTTTATGCTACCGGTTTCCGTAATGTTCGAAAGTAGTAGCTGTCGTAATGTAATGTAATCCGTCTATGAATGTAATCTAATGCAAATGTTATGTTCGCAAAAAAGATGCATGGGTACAATACAATACATGGGTTTGGTTAGACATAAATGGTACCGTTTTATCTTATGTGCCACGGTTATCGCATCTTTGTTCGTTTGCTACCTCAAATTACAGACACTGTCAAACTCCAAAGGTAAGAAAGCTAACTTGTTAGCTGTCTAATCAGATAATGTCACTGCATTGGTTCAAATTAAAAATAAATAGATAATGATCTGTGTAAATTCACTAGGACTAAACTTGGTAATGTTGTATAGTCGCAGGATCAATGAGTGAACACACACTGGAATATTTCCTCAACAAGGGGACGATAAAAAGAAAAGATGCTGCTGATATTGAGTGGTATCATGCAGTAAACAGCAAGAGCAAACTCATAGAGGCTCTTGGAGGTGAGTATACATTACAAAGTAAGAAGAAGCATGTATTTTGCTTCTGCAGTACTTTACCCATAGGCTTTTCTAATGACCACGCCATGATCACTGTTATGATAATGTTTTCTCACTCTTGTCTTTGTTCTTTTTTGAGGTTCTGCACAGATGATTGAAGCAGATGTTCTTCTCAGGGGTCAAGATCCAAAAGAACCCATTATGGCTCACCCGCCTGACAATGACAGTGATATAACTCTGCAGGACTGGCTTAAAGAAGTTGTGAAATCAGGCAAAGGAATAAAATTGGACTTCAAAAGGTGATTTTTCCTTTTTTTTAAACGGCGGCACAGAGTTTTTATTCTTAGATTTTAATACTGCTTATTTTGACAGTAGTCATAGTGCTTGTTTGGATTGATTTCTCCCACAATGACCTTGTTGCTTATGAATGAGTGGCAGATCAACTTATCATTTTGATTCACAGTCTCGCAGCTGTATCCCAATCCATGATTCTACTTGAAGAGGTCCGAGATCAGCTGCAGGGACCCGTGTGGATCAATGCTGATGTTCTTCCTGGCCCTGGTGGCAAAGCCACCCCTTTGGACCCTCATGTTTTTCTACAGGAAGTGGCTCGAAGATCAGAAAATGATGTTCTCTCTTTGGGTTGGACCACTGGATGGGATGTAAACGTAGACAATCGTGGTAAGAAGATTGTTATTACACTAAGGTGAAAAGCTCTTAAGTTTTGTTTTTAGCAGGGTTCCCACGGGTCCTTGAAATTCTTGAAAGTTTATGAATCTAAAAAAAGAAATTCAAGGCCCTCCAAAGTTTTGGCAAGTAAACACACATAGATACAGGTCCTTGAAAGTGCTTGAATTTATTTTGTGCTGGAAGTTTTCTGGATAAAATCCATATTATTCCCTCCGTTCGGATGAAAGTGTATTTCGCCAACACTTCGTGGCCTATGCACACTAGCTAGCTTGATTTACGTTAATTACGCGCATTTACGCGTTACGTTAAGTGTTTCCCGCGTGAGGTACTTTGTGTTGTACGCTGCCATGACGTTCACGCACGCATGAAACTACTACGATGGTACCTCAACGTTTGTTGTTGAACACAACAAACGTGTCCCCACATTAAGTCCTTGAATTTGAGGGTATTGGACCTGGAAAGTCCTTGAAAGGTCCTTGAATTTGAAGTTAACCAAGGTGTGGGAACCCTGTTTTAGTGATAATCATGTGCTATACATATGCTGTATATACTCTACCACTCAAAAGTCAGTAAGATGTTTGTTTGTTTTTTGAAGAAAGTAAGTCTTCGGCTATATTCAAAATGATTCATTACATTGATCAAAAGTGACAGTAAAAGCATTTATACTATATCAAATCATTCCAAATCAAATAAATGCTGTTCTTTTGAACTTTGTATTCATCAAAGAAGCCTGAAAAAATCCCTGAAATCAGAGGTTACACAAAAATATTAAGCAGCACAACTGTTTTTAATGATAATAATTAGAAATGTTACTTGAGCACCAAAACAATATATTAAAAGGATTTCTGAAGGATCATGTGACTTGAGACTAGAGTAATGATGCTGAAAATTCAGCTTTGCTATCAGAGGAATAAATTACATTTTAAAAGATAATAAAATAGAATTGTAATAATAACTTTTTAATTGTAATAATATTTCAAAAAATTACTTTTTTTTTTTTTTACTGTATTTTTGATAAAATAAATGCAGCATTTGTAAGCAAAGGAGACTTCTTTCAAAAACATGAAAAAATCTTATGGACTTTCTTTAATTTTTGCTCCCAGCCTTTTGCTTTGACTTCCTTATGAATTTTTTAATTATAATTCAGACCTTGATTAGCATTTGCTTTCTGTGTTTGTGTTGTTCTGGGAAATAGGCTATAGCTGGGAGATGGTTCATCAGATGGAAGAATTATGCAGATCCCTAAAGCAACCGGTCACATTTCCAGTCCGTGCAGCTCTCATTCCTGTGTCCTTCCAACAGTTCCAGTGGCTTTTAGAGCGTTCAGACCGGTGAGAAATTAATCAGTCTATTTAAATGTATGTCCAGATTTACTATTATAGATGCTATTAAGCCACACATCTGTGTGAAGGAGTCTTTTTATTACCTCGGAGATTGATTCATATTATATAAGCAAGGACACAATGAGATTCATCCTAATGCTTTGTAATTTCTTGCTGGATAATTTGGTTCTGGCTCGTCTATTACACTTGTTTGTGACTGGAATAGAAACTCATTGCTTTATCTGAAGGACGGTGTTGAGGTATTACAGGATGTGAAGGGAAGGTTTAAGCCTCCTCTACAGAGATAGTGCTCTTCTTCACCACTCTTCTCCCTCTCTTAAGTTAGATTTTGAGGGTGATTGCAGTCACTCAGAACAAGGTCACTATTAATTCTGTGAAAAAGCATAGTTCCTTGTGTGAAAAAAACAAGTTCCTTTAAAGCACAATGCTAATTGCTTTGGATTAATTGACACTTTAATATTAAGATGTCAAATTAAAAGCACCATTCATACATTTTTATTCACTGGTGAAGATGATTAAGCTTTGCCTTAATATGATTCTGTTTAACATCTTCTTTTCTTCTCTCTCTAAGGTACAGCCTGACTGTATGGACAGGCAAGGATGATGTTCTTAATGTGGAAGACCTGTTGCCCTACAGGCAAAACTTCAGCAAAACCAGGATCTATTATGATCTGTTACAATCACAGTTCAAACAGTTTAAAGGACTACCTGGCTACTCCTAAAAAAGCAATTAATCTTACTGACATTAGCTATGCTTCCATTCGCCTATTTTTATGCCTGTTTTGGGATATCACATAAAAAAAAAAAAGGCTGGATGGAAACACCAAGATGAGCAGCATAAATTAAAAAAATGTGCATAAAAAACATACACTCAATTGAGGCGGATAAATTTTTTATCCGATAAGAAGACATGCTCACAAACTATGATGGAAACACATTTACACACTAAATCCCTTGATGTTCAACAAAAAACTCATGTGACTTTACCTGCAGAGGATGTGATTGGATAGCTGGACTAACCAGGACTGAGCAATTTCATCGCACAGCATTGCAAATGCTGGTTTGGTCATTCTGAAATGGGTATGATTTGGTTTAATTCCCCCCCAGAAGCATCTGACATGATTGCGTTCCCAAACACCAGGCATCCAAACACAAGATAGTGGTTATTGCGTTTCGTCTGCACGCTCTAAGACGCAAGTCATTTACAATGTAGCAAAAAGAGCCTCAGTGGCTTCCCCAATTACAGCAACTTCCATATTTGTTAGAGATATTCTGCACCAATTTTCTAGGAAGTGACAACACATGGGATGCTTTGCAAAGTATAACAGCTAAATACAATATACATGTACTGTAACATGTAAAGACATGTAAATACATACCTATGCACTCTGTATCTGAGTCTTAAGTTTTAAGGTTTATACATGAATTTTATTGGTTGTCATACTTAACACATTGTCACGATTTGGTCTTGTCTCTGTCATGTTTTGGTTTGTTCATGTCATGTTCCATGTCTGTCATGTGATTCCCTGTTTGTCATGTGATCCTGCCATGTGTCTTGTCATTGGTTAATCGCCTGTTCATTGTTCACAGGTGTCCCTTGTCCTGTCATTAGTCTGTGTATTTAAGCCCTCATGTTTGCCATTTGTCTTTTGTCAAGTATTGTTTCCTGTGACCATTGTTTGTGTAAGTCTGTGTCCATGGTTTTTGTTTCATGCCACGTCATGCTTTTGTTTTGTTTTATCTTATGTTTGTTAATATTAAACTGCACTTGGGTTCTATCTACAACTTGCCTCCAGTGGATCCATTACACACATTAATGTACAAAGAAAGAAAGAAAGAAAGGGAAAGAAAAATGCTATATTTTTGTAATCTACATTTGCATTTTGTAACATTTTACAAGCATTACAAATGAATAATAAAAGTATGGGGAAAAATGCTTCTCATTATTAGTATGCACTACCATTCAAAAGTTTGAGGTCAGAAAGATTTCTTTTAAAAGAAGTCTAATGCTCACCAAGACTAAAGTTATTTGATCAAAGATACAGTAAAATAGTAATCTTGTAAAATATTATTACAGTGTAAAAAATGTGTTCTACTTTAATATAAAATGTATTCCTGTGATGCAAAGCTGAATGTTCAGCATCATTACTCCAGTCTTCAGTGTCACATGATCCTTCATAAATCATTGTAATATGCTGATTTGGTGCTCAAGTAACATTTCACACGTGGAAACTGCTGATTAATATTTTTGTGGAAATTGTGATATATTTTTCAGCATTCTATGAATGAATGAATGAGGCATTTATATAGCGCTTTCATATGTACTACTGTACACCCAAAGCGCTTTACAATCATATCAGGGGTTCTCTCCTCAACCAGCACCAGTGTGCAGCATCCACTTGGATGATGCGACAGCAGCCACAGTACAACGGCGCCAGTACGCTCACCACACACCAGCTATAGTTGGAGAGGAGAGAGAGTGATAGAGCCAATTCAGTGGATGGAGATTATTAGGAGGCCATGATTGGCAGGGGCCAATGGGTGGAATGTGGCCAGGACACCGGGGTTACACCCCTACTCTTTACGAGAAGTGCCATGGGATTTTTAATGACCACAGAGAGTCAGGGCCTCGGTTTAACGTCTCATCCGAAGGACGGTGCTCTTTGACAGTATAGTGTCCCGTCACTATACTGGGGCGTTAGGACCCACACAGACCACAGGGTGAGCGCCCCCTGCTGGCCTCACTAACACCTCTTCCAGCAGCAACCTGGTTTTCTCAGGAGGTCTCCCATCCAGGTACTAACCAGGCTCAGCCCTGCTTAGCTTCAGTGGGCAACCAGTCTTGGGCTGTAGGGTGATATGGCTGCTGGCCGGCCATTCATTCTATGATGAATAGAAAGTTCAAAGGAACAGCATTTATTTAAAAAAAAATAATTAATATATATGACTGACCCTAAACTTTTGAACAGTGGTGTAAAACAAAGATATATGCAAGAAAGCAAAAGTGTTGTTATCTGTTACATTGTTTCGGTTTAATTTATTAATGCAGTAAATTAGCTCTCAATATGTCCAATGATACTGAATGCAATTAATGCTTTATTATATATATATAAATATACGCAATAAACTGAAAGTATTGTTTTATGCTGCATTTATTTTGTCAATGGATAAATACAAGTCACAATATATTATCTGTTGTAACTACAAAGACATTGCAGGCATAAATCAGGTTTAAAGAGACAGCATAATTAAACAGCAGCAACGTTTCAGTATTCTGATTCAGTGCACTAATGAGAGAGTACAAATAACAGCAGTAAAGTGCAGTAAAGTTTACAATAGTCAAAATAAACATATTACCACTGTCCAGTCTGGAAAGTGCATTTTAGGGTGTGGTTTATGTTTATTATGATTCATATTTAAAATGTATTCTGTTCAGATTTCAGACTTTGTCAAATGAAATTTCTATATTTACCACAACTTTCCTCTGTGATGTTTACTGACCAAAGATTTCCTCGAAATTGACCAGCTGCTTGATCTGCTCAGTTTGCATGGAGTGTCGTCTTAACAGACTCTTCTTGTTCTTGAGATCTCTGGGATGGCTCGGGGCAATGGGGACAAAATGCCTCAATCCAGGAACAATGGGTGAAGTTCCTGCCACAGGCTTGCTTCCACTGTTGACGCCAACACAGGTGTTGACTTTGATATCTGGAATGGGTGCATGTGGATTAAGAGGTGGCAGATAACCAGGGCGGGTTTGTGAGATATGGTCTAGGAGTAGGGCTCCAGATCCCCTCCGCTCCAGCATCGCCGGGCTCCTCCTCTGAACGACACTCTCCAGAGACTCTCTGGATCCAGAGAGAGTGGAGGAGCGGCTGGTAACAAGCTTGCGTTTCTCCATTGCCCCAGTTCCTCCTCCTCCTCCAGTCTTCCCGAGGTCTTCAGAGGGGTGGCTCCCAAATTGAGGCAACTGAGAGTCAGAACTGTAGTGGTCCATTCCGAAGTTGCGCCGACGAAACACATTGCGTAGGCTTGAAACAGCCAGGTTGGGAAGACAGTCTGGGCCCCGGTCCACAGGAGCAGTGTCTGAGATGGATGCCTGCTTGAGGTTCTGATGTGAGGAAGAGTGCGGTAACAACTCACCATCGTAGGACATTTTTCTACTGAGCCATTTCTGTTCTTTTGTTAGTTCTCTTTCAGATGTTGTCTCAAAGGCTCTAAGCAGACCAGTAGAGTCTTTGACGTCAATGCTTTGGTGCCGAGCTACCGTCGTTCTCAGTAGAGGTCTGCAACCATTGTACCCAAATGAGAGCTCCTCTTCGGGGGTGATATCTAGAAGCTCCTCGGTCAAGGATGAGGACTTGCTTTGCTGTAGGAGCAGAGAAGGAGGGATCTTCAGCCAGGGCTCTGAGTTAAGCCTCTGTAGATGCAGCAGCTTCACCACACTAGCCGCTTGCAGAGGGCTTGAATCTTGAGTCGGTGATCCTGGCTTAGATGTGGGAAGTGTTGGAGTGGATCCCAGGGTCTCAGATTGGTTGTTGGTGGGAGGTGAGATATGCGGGGTAAAAAGATTCATTTCAGAGGGGCACATACATGACGCAGAGGCACAGTGCAACCGGTCCTCAAGATTTGGAGGTGGTGGTACGTTCAGATACTGCTTGGTCATTTGTCTTCCAGAGGGTAGTTTGTCTGTTGTAATGATGATGACTTCTTTGCCCTTGGCCTTGCAGGCGTCCAGTAGTACTCTCAGTGCATCCTTGTCTCCAGCGTTAACTGCGTAGACCAGAGCAGAGGAACTATTGTGGTCCTCTAAACTAGGGTCAGCTCCACTGGAGAGCAGAAGCGACAGCACCTCATCTCCCGCCCGCTCTATGCAGGCATGCATTAGGGCTGTCTTACCAGACTTATCCTGAATGTTGGGGTCTGCACCATTTTCAAGAAGATACCTGTTGAGAAGAAGATTGATTCATTAGAGTGAGCTCATAGAGGAAGGGATCAATGTCAATCAGAGTGTCCACAATAAAAAAAAAATCAATCTTGTAAATACTAAATAGTATAAAACATATGTACCAAGATATATCCTATTATTGGTATACTCATGTGATTTTTAAAAACCTTTATGCCATTTTCAACATTGGATTCGATTACTCGTGGTATTACCATCAAGTAAAAAGTGTAGACATCTTATCCAAAAAACGTTTGTTACACTACCATCCAAAAAATTAGGGTCAGGAAGATGTTTTTAAAAGAAGTCTAATGCTCTCCAAAACTAGATTTATTTGATCAAAAATAGTAAATTATGTTTTATTAACAAAGTTCGGGAGGAGCACGTTCAGATAATTAACACGAGTGGAGAGCACTCAGCAATCAACGATAAGAGGTGTATATATATTCAGCAGTCGCACCTTAATTCGGTGACAGTTTAGCAGCATCCCTCCACCACCCCTTCTCCACACTTCTAGTCCTAACCATTTACATACGGGGGGAGTACTCTGGGTTCGGGCCGAACTCCAAGCTCGGAGCCCTCCCCCCGGACAGCACGCCAAATAAGTGTGAACTCGTGTGAATTTTGTGAAATGTTATTACAATTTAGAATAACTGTTTTCTATTTATCTTTTAAAATGTAATTTATTCATGTGATGGCAAAACTGAATTATCGGCAATAATTACTCCAGTCTTTTTAATGTGTCCTTGCTGAATAAAAGTATTATTTAAAAAAAATCTTACTGACCCCAAACTTTTGAAATGTAGTGTATCTTCAAAGGTAAAACTTTCTTTTTCTTTTCTTTTTTTTTATATATAATTTTTGGGGATTCCTTCTTTGATCTTGTATTATAACATGGTCAAATACTCTGATAGCTTAAGAGACTGACCCTCACGCAATAATGAGGGTCTGTGGAGAAACGTTTTGTTAGAATATAAAAAAAAGAAAAGAAATTATATATATCATGCCAAAGTACTTCAGCTTTTAATGAATAATGATATTCATTTCAGAAATTAAAAATATGCTCATCATGCAAGAGTCACTGTGTGTATGAACTGAATTTTTCAACGCATTCTCTTCCTTGCTACTTTAAAAAAAAAAAAAACTAATATCAAAGTTTCATTGTACAATCAGCTAATCAACTTACAGGAGACCCACCTGATGATCTTGGGTTTTGGCACACTCTGAGCATCTGCATGGTGACTTTTGCAGGCCACCATCAGTGGAGTTTCTCCCCTCTCATTGCTTTCATTAATGTAAGCCCCTCCTTCCAGCAGCAGGCGCGTCAACCTCAGGCGGCACAGATACACTGCTTTCAGCAAAGAGTTTCCACCCGTGCGCACCTCTGTTGAGTCCTCCATGATTATGTGGTGGTGTGACCGTTGAGAGGCTAATGTAGGGTTGGCTCAGTGGGTCATAGAAGCTGATTTCTTTATTGGCTTCTGTCAGGGAAGAGAAGGAGAGCATACTTTATCAGAACCAGAGTTTTTCAAGGTTTTCACTTAAGTGTCTGCTTTTTATCCAATTCATTCGCATCAAAGCAAACCTGATGTCTCTTTGACATTGAAATGTGCTCTCCCTCTTCGCCTCAGAAGAATATGCTAGAGAGGTTTCCTGCTCTAATCTAGTGTCTCTGGCCATTCATCGGGTAGACACTAATGTGAAGATGTTTGTTATGATGACTAGGTAGGTGGCATGTCTAGGTGCTACTTGACAAGAAGACATAAGAAAACTGAATTAGTTATCTAATCCCCGTTACATAATATGAATTACTCTTTCTATTATATTTTAAAATTTTTACCTGCAATTATGCAGCATAGTCTATGTTTAATACAAGTTGAGCTCAATCGACAGCGCTTTTAACATCATGTTGATAAACAGAATAATTAATTCCAACCCGTGCCTCCTTTTCCTTAAAGAACAAAGATCTGGTTTACAGTGAGACTAACAGTCACAAGTGAATGGGGCCAATTTGTAAACTTTTACTCAGCCAGAGTTACATTATATTTAATTTCATTGCCATGACAACATAACACTTAAAACACTAAATGTCATTAAAATGATGAGAACAACTTTACAGTTCAAGCAACAATTAATACGGTTTAACAGAAGGATCAATGTAAGTGTTTTTATAAATCTTCTAAAAAACCAGCCCCATTTACTTCTTCACGAGTTCCTTTGCCCATATAATCTTTAAGCTAATAAGGTTAAGCGTATTTGGCTTGCTGTCCACAGGTGAGGGGCTCGAGGAAGCAGCTTCAACTCGAGCTTATTACCCCCCCCCCCCCCCTGGTGGGACTACTAATGCTTGGATGATGAGTGGTAGCAAGATGCCTAAATTATGTTGGTTGGGGAGGTGGAGGGATGCCAAAAGCTGATGCCAGAGCAAGGTGATTATATGCTCTTATATGCATATAATATAAGAGCATATAAGCTGCTTATATGCTCCGGCAGTTAATTGAAAGATTAGATGGGTTCACTCCTCTCGAAATGACGTTGTGAACTTCACTAAGTGCATTGCTGTAACCTTGATTTATGCTTTTTTTTAAAGAAAAGGACAGAGATGGTTTAAAATTATCATGCTGTCGATTAAGCTTAATTTCTACAGTACTTTCGTGTACTTTTAAATTAGCATGTGTAGTAAATGTGAAAGGGATAGTTCACCCAAAATGAAATCAGAGTCTCAAGTTGTTCCAAACCTGTATGAATTTCTCTTCTGCTGAACACAAAACTGAATATATTTTGAAGAATAATGGAAACCAAACAGTTGATGGGCCCCATTGACTTCCATAGTATGAAAAAAAATATACAATAGATCAATAGGGCCCATGAACTGTTTGTTTACCGACATTCTTTAAAATATCTTATTTTGTGTTCAACAGAAGAAAGTAACTCATACAGGTTTGGCACAACTTGAGGGTGAGTAAATGATGACAGTTTCTTTTTATTTTTGGGTTAACTATCCCTTTAAGCATGTGAGCCTCCACCAGACATGCACAGTCTGTTCTTATAAGAGCAATAGCAGTGTTTTTGTCAGTAGGTTGAAATTCAATAGCCTGAGGCAATCTGTATTTGCCACATAGAATGAAGACATTCCTTTATAAAGTCTATTGTGCATGTGGCCTTGTTCTCTTAACTCAAAGTGCAGTTGCAGCGCACTCTTTATTTAACAAACAGCGAGCCCGAGACTGCCTCACTCAGGTTTATAAATGTGAATTCACTAGAGTTGAGGTAAGATGAGTAAGGAAATTAATCTTTTTGTGTCCTCCAACAAAATGAAAAGGATGAAAACATGGGCTGACACTCTCATGGTAGCTTTTCTTAGCAGTGAAGGCTGCATGTAATAAATGCTATATTAGAGAGTGCGTCAGCACCGTGGATAAATGTTTTCTTTAAAAAAACACACAAATGCGGATTATAATACTTTTATACCTAACTTTAATAGCCTTAATTATGTCTGCCTTTCCTGAACTAGAGCCTCCTCATCTCTTTCTTTCTTTGCGTGTGATGTTTATTATGCTAATAAACCACTTTGTCCTGACAGTTTGACTTTTGAAATAAAGTTGTACAGACAGGCTAAAGTCTTGATTGGTCTGGTACAAGCACACTGCCTGATGCCTGCAGGACATCTCGGTTCAAGCTGCTAATTCCAACAGCTCCCTGGGCTGGCATTTAAAACCTCAGCTTTGTGTGCCATTCCCCTAGTCTTCAATCGCCCTTGGGAACAGAGAGAATTTTTAATGACAGGCCTCTCTCCCTCTGTTGCTGCCTCTTGCTAAAAAGCATGGAGCAAATGAGGCCCAAAACAGATGAGGGTGGTGATTGTTGCAGCAGCAGTGCTGAAGAGGAGCACCAAACAGACCACTCCACGCACCTGTGTGCATCTGTGATTCATGCCAGATCACGCAATGCTTAATTCTCCTCGCAAATGGTGGGCTGAATTTGTCCCTCTCAAAACACCTGCAGGGAAAATGAAAACGCACTCTCTGTGACATCAACTGATAAGTGGATAAGAATAGTTTTCGTGTGTCTTGATTAATGAGGGTAATGTGCTTTCGAGGTTTGCCAGAAGAATAAATTATGAGCTTCCTCAGCTGATATAAAGATACATTTCCATCATGTCCATATAGATTCATTATGCTAAACAGTGAAAGCAGCAAACAGTAGTCCCTTTACTTAGCATTTTTTGGTTAATTCGGAAATTAATTATTTGCATGATGTATTTAAAGCTGATTTATTTATATTTGATTTAAACTACATTTGTATACTGTAATATAAATGTAATATTATACCCAATCATTTGTACTTAATGCGTGAACTTCAGTTAATATAAGTGTACATAAATATTTTTTGCTTAATCATTTTATATAACAAAATTGTTTTAATTAAACGTAAATGAACCTTACTTGAAATCCAATATATGATAATAGAGATGATTTTCAGAAACAATGGACATTGTTGTTGTTTTTACACACACATATATATGTGTGTGTCTATATGTATATATGTGTATATGTGTAAATTTTACACAAACAATGTCCATTGGTTCCGAAAATCATCTGTATTATCATCTAAAGATGCTATTTCGTGTGAACTATTTTTACTCTTATTTTTATAGAACAGATCCAAGGTCAACACCAATAAAAAAGCTATATCCACTCACATCATACCGTAAGACCAACAGCATCACACATCTAAAAAAGTCTGCAAGAAATCCTTCATATTAACTTATTAACACATAAAAATGTCATTATACAGCATAAAAAGGTAAAGTTTTGTATTTTATTTTAAAAAGTATGCATGTTTTTAAAGGAGATTAAATGATGTCCTTACCTCGTATAAACCAGTCGCTGCTCTAGATTTCCAATAGCTTGTTCCTGTGGCATGTCATCTTTGTAAATAGATGAGTAATCCTGGGGTGAGACTAAAGCTGGAGCTTGAAGTGGGAGATGAGCATGTGGAGATGTGCACTCACTGAAGGTGAATCAAAGAGTGGCACAGATACAGGAGAGAGAAAGAGAACAAGTGCCTGTGCTCAGCCAAGCTCACCACAGACCAAGTCCCTGTGTATCAGGAGGACAGTCAAGCTTAATAGAGCAAGGTGACGCCAGTCCCAACACATCCAGCGTCAGTAAGTGATAGCTCCATTATTCTCACATTGCGAAGGAGTTATTGAACTCGTATGCAGAGGTTGTACGCAGACTCTCATTTGTTCCTAACTCTGATGTCAACATGATCGCACGATGATGGCACCTATTGTGCAATTACATCATTATGACACAACTGTCTCGCCTTTGAGGCAGCAGTTTAGCTCATGAGGAGTGTATTGATCTGTTTGAGTGATGCAGTCACTTTTTATAAAACTGCAATGATGGCACTGAAGGGCCAATAATAAGACTCCTAATGGATTAAAAATGGGAAAAAAAGTTTCATTTGATAATAAAAAGACTTAAACAGCCCTCCAACTGCTCTCTTTTACCTTTTAATCTAAATGGCAACTCGCTTGAATAAGCTAATGAAGTGCAAACCCTTGTCAAGTCTCTAGATACTGTTTGTACCCTGAAAATATATCTAAGTGCTACTTAAGGTGCATTTGCTGGGTAATTGGAATTCCAGTCAGGTTTATTTCAGCCTGTCCGTAAACGCGTAGTACATTAGGGTGACATATCAAAAACAATCAGCTTAAAAAGGTTGTGCTTGATTGCAGCATTTGGCTTTTTAAAATAGGGGTCATGAAGGAGTTTGTGGGTGAGCCTGAAAGCTTTAGTATTGTGACCCTTCTCTGAACTATACGACAACCTTTGTCAATCAGCCAGTCCGAGGATGAAACACAACATGCATATTCATGAAGCAGTCAGATCTTCAGACTGGCGTAATAGCAGACACTTCAGTTGCTATTGGATATGGAGATGAGCAGGTTGTCTTTTGCAGTTGGCAAGATGAAGAATAATTAAGTAGATAGCAGATGTGGAAAAGACAATTTATTACTATCAAATTTAGGTATATTGTTTTCTGAATATCTGGAATTATAACCCAGAAACAAAACCTGATACAGATAACTTATTGTATTGACTGGTGGCCAATCTTCAGATTTTACATTCCATCAGTAAGAGCAGAGTGTAAAGGTTGAATTAGCAGAGCAATAGCACATCTGTACATTAAATATTGCAATTCACACAACATAATGAGAGACATATCAGAGTTCAAAAGAGGACAAATATTTGGTGTGGGTCTTTCTGACTCATCTGTGTGACCAGGACACCCAGTCTTTGTGGTGTATCGAGAGCTATGGGTAAAGATATGATATAATACTTGTCAGACAAGTCTGAAATTTTTCTTGCATGACAGTATCTACAACAATCAACATCCAATAAACATTGACATACACTTGATCCACACAATACAATTTACACTCACAAAAAAATCTCACACAGTATACATTACACTTCCTTAAACTTTACAGTACACCTTACACTCCTATACTACGCTTATACAATTACAACACTACAACACCTTCGCTTATACTGTTGATTTTTGATTAAGTGTCTTATTCAACTCTAAGATAGCCTGATGCATAAAATAGTGCTTCAGCCTTACTTTGTTGAATCTTGGAATCCCGTACCTCTGGTTTGATGGTAATAAAACAAACGTATTATGCAGGACATTATTAGGGTCAGAGACTGTATTATTAGCCAGCCTTAACAAATTGTTATAATAAGCTAAATCATATAGCTTCTCAAGAGGCTGACCTACAATCCTTGAGCAAATTTAATTTTATTAAACAACTTTGTTTTTAGCATAACAGAAAAACTCTCTACCATATGGAGTTGCAATATTACAGTATACTCATTATCACAATGCACATTGTCCACATCCAGCAGGAGTAACTGTAAACCAAGAGGAAACTGTCTGAAAGGGATGTCCAGGTATTAACCCGGATTGTATCCAAAAAACATAAAACCACAGCTGCCCAACTCACTGCAGGATTAAATTAAATTCACACCTCCATTCTCCTATTTTAACTAACACTCTTGGACAGGAGCTCCACAGCATCAATATTCATGGTCGGGCAGGGCTGCTATGGCCAAACCTTTGATCACTCGTCGTGCCAATACCAAATATCGGTTTCAATGGTGCCAACAGTGCAAATCTTGGGCTGTGGATAATGAGAAATATGTATTGTTCTCTGATCTGTCCACCTTAACTGTCTATCCCACATCTGTGGGAGTTATGGTGTGGAGAAGCCAAAGAGGCTTAACACCTGGACTGTTTCGTGCCCAGTGTGAAGCCTGGGGGTGGACAGTGATGGTTTGGGATGCAATATCATGGTATTCCCTACAGTGCTTGATGGGCACAGTGCCAAGTACTACGGAACCATTCTGGAGGACCATGTGCACCTAATGGTTCAAACATTGTACCCTGAAGGTGGGGCTGTGTATTTGCATGATGATGCACCAATACACACAGCACAAGACCTGTGACACAATGGTTTGATGAACATGAAAATGAAGTTGAACATCTCCCATGGCCTGCACAATCACCAGATCTAAATATTTTTGAGCCACTTTGGGGTATTATGGAGGAACATGTGTTTTCCTCCACCAGCATCACATAGTGACCTGGCCACTATTCTGGAAGAAGAATGACTCAAAAATCCCTCTGGCCACTGTGAATGACTTGTATCTGTCATTCCCAAGATGAATCGATGCTGTATTGGCCGCAAAAAGGAGCCCCAACAACAGGGTTCTTCAAATCCTGCCCTGAAGGGCTACTGTTCTGCAGAGCTTAGCTAAAAACCATGATCAAACTCACTTACCTGCAATTTCCTAGTAACTGAAGACCTTTGCTGTGTCCTAATTCCAAGGCTGCATCGCTGAAAGGCCGCAATTCGAAGACTGATTGCGTCACCATTGTGCGACGAAGGGCCCTTCAAATGAGGCCTCGAAATGCGCCCTTCGTTTCGCGGGAAATGATCGATACAACACATGGACCCTTATCGGCCTCACGTACCCCAGAATTCATTACGCGCCGGTGACGACAGGATTTTTTGGTAGAGAAATTGCCTGATTATACTTTTAAATTTAAGCATTGGGTTCTACTTACTCGACTAATCTAATGATACGAATGTAAAAATAAAAAATATACAGGGGTAAATTCAGGTTGATTGGGACACTTTTCCCCACTCATCTCAATGGCAAAAAGTGTCCCAAACAACCTGAATTCACCCTTATATAAAGCAGCTCAAATATTGACTTATATCTTACCAAGAAGCGATTTTACATAGTTTGCACACCTTATTATGTACATAAATGGACAAAGGTGAACATTTAGACAGGTTGTGAACCTTGTTTTGTTTTAAGGCAGTTGGATATAACTTAGGTCCAGTAAACGTTACTGCCATTTCTTCAACGGCAGTTGTCAGTTGCTAGGAGACAAGAACAGTTTTCCGTAGGCTAAAGTGTCCCATTTAACAACAGTCGGACCTTAGCGGCCATCGAAGGACTGCCTTTGAAGTCTGAGTCCTTCGAAGAATGCAGCCTTTGAATTGGTACACAGCCCTTGACTAGCTTGTTCAGGTGTGTTTGATTAGGGTTGGAACTAAACTCTGCAGGGCCCTACAGGACCAGATTTGAGAAACCATGCCCTACACCAGGGATAGGTAACGTCGATCCTGGAGTGCCGCTGTCCTGCAGAGTTTAGCTCCAACCCTGATATAAACTCGCCTACCTTTAGCATTAGTAATCCTGAAGACATTGATTAGCTTGCTCAGGTGTGTTTGATTAGGGTTGGAGCTAAACTCTGCAGGACAGTGGCACTCCAGGATCAACGTTGCCAATCCCTGCCCTACACCATACTAATAAATTATTGTGGTCCAGGTGCTTCAGATTCATTCTCCAACCCCATAAAAATCATTAAGAAAAGGCCACAAATCAGCAGACTTAGCAGTTAGCCCCTATGCAACATGTTGAGCTATTGTGCTCATTGGAGATTGAATCCGGCTGATTTTACCCCCCTTTACCCACCCTCTTTCTTCCCACGATTTTCTGTCAACTTTTCACTTTGTATATAAAACTGCAAAAGCCAACACATAGAATTTCAACATCATATCTTTTAATTGTCCTGGAATCATAAAATTTTTTGGGCTTTTGATATTTTAATTAATAAGGAAAGTGGACATGAAATATGAAGTGATAGAGAGAAGAAGGGGTGAAGGGGTCAGGAAATACAAGCATAATTTACATGAAAACTACTACATCATGCAACATGTCAGAGTCCACGTCTCCCTACTTAAAAGATTTTCTTCTCAGTGGTCGGTACTCTCATACACTTCGAACACATACTGAACACCATTCTCATCCTGTAAGCCGGTAGGTACACCTGGGAATCTGACCAGAAGGAAACAAGAAAAAAGAAACAGAAGGAGCAATAAGACATTTCCAAATTTTTAAGTCAGGACTGATTTTACAAACATGGATTGCAACTAAGAACATAAGAAAAGAAAACCTTTAAAACCAAACATAATACAGACACAACACAATATAGCCTTTAAAGCAACACCAAGTAACTTTTCCTCTGCGGTCACCCTACAGGTTGGAAGCGGAATTGTCCATTACTGCTGTCGTAAATAATTTAGCCTACCGCATCCTACTGTCGCACGCGCACGCACATGCTCTCTGTTTATCCAGCACCGGCTTTGGAATCATGATGACAATTCAAAAGCTACCCGGCTGCTAGGTATCTTACATGTAGTTGTAGTCTACTGTCGAGTACGCTCCACGCCTCCACCTATCGGCAATTGTAACGCTTGCCGTCAAGCAAGTCAAATTTGAAGTTTTCTTATGTCTCATTCGGACTACAGAAACGCGACCCGATCTGGCAATCTTACATAGCGTGGATATATCAGATAAAGGACTGCAAAGCAGTGGCATAAGTGCATTTCACCATGTCACGACTTGATGAACCACTGAAACGATTTTGAAAACATTATTTTAAGGTAAAAAATCTTACTTAATCTTGCTTTAACAGACATATTCAAACTTGAACTTTCATAAATACTCAACTTTCATCTACTTGGATGGTATAGATTCTTGTTAACTTCCAATTAACTGCTGAAAATAATCAAATGAATTTGAGAAGAACACATAACAAAATCCATTTTGCTCTTTGACAGATGAAGTGACAGCGATCAACATCCTGTGTGGATTTAGCTTCTCTTTAAATGCTTACTGTGAGCCTGAGAGACGTGACATTTGATGCAATCCACCTTTGATGCTAGATGCCATTTTTACATAACAAGAGAGCTTTTTCTCCTCATTGATGCAATTCTCTTCACTATTCTCTCTGCATACACAATACAGCATGTCTGTTCCAGTGACAATAAATCTATCTACTTTATTCAAGGATACGACAAGACAAATACTCCTAAACATATGTATAAAAAGGTTGTACTTTATATGAAAGTGTTTCATTAGCAAATGGCCTTTTTGATGTTTAACACAAATAGAAATGTAATATCGCTCCTCCTACAAATCATTATGACACAAATTGTTTGCAACATTGTTCGAAGAAGAAAAAACAGTGTGTGTGTGTGCGTTGGTCCACCTCAGTTCAAATCGTGTTCCGAGGCGGGACTCGCGTTCCGAGTACTGGCAACATGTGAGAAATGCCGGTAAGCAAGAAAAAGTGCAATACTCTTAAAAGCCATACAAAAGTTTGGGGTCAGTATGATTCTTTAAATGTTTTTTTAAAGAAGTCTTTTATGCTTAATAAGACAGCATTTATTTGCTCAAAAATACAGTTAAAATAATATTGTTAAATAATATTACAATTTAAAATAACCATTTTCTACTTTTAAAATATAATTTATACCTGTGATTCGAAAGCTGAATTTTCAGCATCATAACTTCAGTCTTCAGTGTCACATGATCCTTCAGAAATTATTCTAATATGCTGATTTGGTGCTCAAGAAACATTTAAAATTATGATTAATGTTGAAAACAGTTGTGCTGCTTTAACAATTTTGTAGTAACTGTGATACATTTTTACAGGATTCTTTGATTAATAGAAAGGTTAAAAGAATAGCATTAATTTGAAACATAAATCATTATAAATGTCTTTACCATAATTTTTTAAATCAATTTAATGCATCCTTGCTGAATAAAAGTATTAATTTATTAAAAAAAAAAAAAACCTTACTGACCCCAAACTCTTGAATGGCAGGGTTCAGTGTATTTTTCCTTGCCTGCTGTCCATGTCACAGCATATACACCAAAAGATTAGTTGCTAATGAAAGACTTCAAAGCAGCTCTAGAGAAATTAATCATATGGCATTTATGGCTAAGGTGATTAGCTAAACATTTTTTTTCTTTTTATGAACAGCAATGCTAACCTCTCTCCATGTATTATAGACCTCAATGTAAGCATTCAAACAACTGTATAAACACTCACTCAGACAGGAGCTTGTACTTGTCCATTTTAATATCAGGTATAAATGTGTCACAGTCAAACTGCTTGAGGACCCGTGTTACAAAAAGACGCCTGGGACCAGAGCGCTCCATCACCTCCTAAAGAACACAGCACAACATTCACAAACAGTGTATGAAGTACATTGTACAAGATATTAACAGAATGAAAAGGAAGGAGTATGAAGGAAGGGAGTCTTTTGTGCATTTTACCTTGAGGCAGTTTCCATAACAACTGATTATACAGAGATCTGAACTACACTGAGCTATAACTGAGATATAACAAAGTATAGGTGGGTGTATAATGTATGTTGTTGCACGCATACTGTATAACCGGTGAAACAGACAACTTTACCCCAAAATTAGGAAATATCATATTACTTTAGAAAACAAGTATAAATAAATTTCATGAAATTGGAGGAAATCAAAAATAGAAATATAAGAAGTAAATGAGTGACGGGATGGTTTAGGGATCAGTGTTTGGTGTAGGCAATCAGTCCTGTACCAACCTTGTACAGAGCACTGCCGCCAATTATCCAAACCTGGTCCACTTGATTTTCAACCTCAGAGCTGTCTAACAGATGGAGAGCTGAACTCAAGTCTGAAGCAAGGTAGTGAGCTCCCTCTGGGGCTGTCCTGTGCAGTGAGTGATAGAAAATACGAAACATTTTAAACTTATAAGTGGTAGCAGTCTACTGTAAGGTGAAATAAAGTGCAAGCATTTAGATTACTTGAGCTCTCTGCTGAGAACTATGTTGATCCTGTTCTTTAGGGGTCTGTTTTGTGCAGGAATAGAGAACCAAGTCTTTCTGCCCATGATGACCACATTCTTTTTGCCTGTCAAATGACACGCAGAGTGAATGCAAAAGACAACAATACAGAGATTGGGTTAAAGATTTGACTAATTTCAGAACAAACAAATAAAATATGGAAAAACAAAGACAATAAGACGAATGACAAATATGAAAGCATTGTATTACCCTCAACTGAAGGGGTCATGGTCATCTTCTGAAAGTGCTTGAATTCATTACTAAAAATATAAGAAAGAAGAATCAAAGCTAATGGTTGGGATATATTTTGAGGCTTGCTTTGTGTAAAAGGTTAGGAACATGTCAGGTGGGTTTTTTTTTTCCTGCAGGACAAAGTTCAAGCTCTAACTCAACCTGTGAAATCATAAAATATTCGATTTCATATAGCTAATATTCTTATTTTTACCATTCTGTCTTAATGATTTTGTAAGATGTTTTCATTTTATTCATTTGTGAAGTCATTTTGAAAAACTGTCACGACATGGATTTATATGTCACTGCAAAGGAGTAAAAACGTATCGCTGTTGTAAAATATGAAACTCATAACACGTGGCCCTGGAAAATAACCAACACTTTTTATATTATTGTATCAATATAACAGAAACAACAAAAACGATCGGCTTCTCGCTCACCTTAGTCTTATTGGATGCCATGGTAGATTTCCATTTTTCCCTATTCCCATATCTGGACAAACTGCTACTATACAGTTGAGTATTCGAAACATAACTATCCTGAATGTAAATAACAATTAAAACTTTAGCTAGTTTGCACTGTCTGGTCTTCCCGGGTCTTCCTCCCGCCAGCGAATTTACGAACGTACGTAGAATGCTTGGCTCATAAATATGAACGACGTTACGTGACGCTCGTAAACTGATTTGCTGTAGGACTGCGTTGGCGCTAGTACGTTGTCCAATGAACGTATTCTATTATTGTGAAAGAGTCGCTCTTCCTGTCACATGTGTATTGAAAAGTAGACCATCAAGAAAAAAAGTGCACAGACTGAAAGCAGCGTTTATGAGCACCCTCAGAATTTCAAGGTACAATTATAATACGTGGATAAATATATGAACACAACACAAATAAATACATATGAGTACAATATTTTATTGGTTCTTCTTTGCTAAATAATATTTTATTGCATTTTATTACACATTTCCCAGTAACATCAAAGCATTGTGATAAAACAGAAACATTTTAAATATGATTTTTCCTTGTTCTTATCCTAAGAACTTTTCTAAACCTTGACAAAGCATGTAAAGAACAATCTGGTTCATCTTTTAAAAAACAGAATGTGGTAAACAATTTTAAAACTCAAAGGCCATAATGGGCTTATATGGATAGAAAATGGACAAGACAATTGATAAATCTAATTATGAAGAGAGCATGGTAATTTTATTTCATTGTATTAAACAATTTTGTCCTTGCATCTTTGATGAATGATGTTCATTATGTACATGTATAACTGTATTAAATGCATATTATATTCATACATATATTTCCTAGAATATCCCAGTTTTATAGAATAATCACACAAAAAAGATACTGACAGTACAACTATTTTTCAATCTCAGCATGGCCTTTTCTTTCCCAGCTCATGTCCATGTTATTTGCAGTGTATGGCGCCTCCTTTTGGTTTTGCATTGTAACTTTGTGATATTGTTTAAAGTCATTGCCCAGCAGCCACTCAAATCCAAATGGGACAAGCGCCAACAAGTGTTTACAATATGTACTACAGTCTCCATAGTGATATCTGAGCGGTTCAGACTAACAGATCTAAGGCAGTGTAGTGGGGGACTGTCTAGGGCCCCGAGGGGTTTGGCCGGATGGTTTAGGACAAGTCTAAATACAGGGTCCAATCGACAGGGAACAGCGATTAGCGAGAGCTTCCGAAGGAGTGAAGCACCCCTAAGTAGTGCCCACAGCACTCCCTTCAGAGACATCCAACACAATGCAGGCTTCATTTGCCGTTCATCCAATGAAAAACTGTTGGGGAAAAAGAACACTGAATGGAAAGCAGTATATAGCACATTTGATTTAAAGGGAAAAGAGCATCAGCATGAAGTTTAGCAAGAATGACAACATTTGACTTACTTCAGTGTTAAAGAGTGGAGGTGTGGAAGGCATGGTAGATTAGAAAGAAGGCCTTCGTCTTCACCCTCCTCCTCAGCATCATCATCTCCATTCAAATTAGTGCTGGGTGGGTCTAAATGAACAGTGAGAGAGTTTAGTCTGGGACAGGCATGGATGAGCTCCAGAAGAGGAGTATGTCCATCAGCTCTGATCCCTTCCAAGGTGAGTGAGAGCAGGTGTGAGCCTGAGGCTCTCAGGGCTGGAACCAAATCAGACAGAAGACCAGCAAATTGTAGAGAAAGGCAGTGTAGCTGTCCAGAAAACCTACTGAGTCCTCTGGCTAAAATGGTTGCCTGTTCGAAGTTGTCAGCATTATGATGAGCATTACTCTGGAGACAGTCCAAAGACAGGACATGGAGGTCAGGGCAGATCTTCCCTACTGCCTCCAAAGTATCCAGAGACAGTCCTTGTACATCCTTGAGAGATGTTGTCACACTATCCCTTCCATTACAATCCCTACTTCTACCTCCATCTTTTTTATAACCCTCTCCTGAAGTCCCTGTCCATTCATTTATCTCTGTAGTATCACTAGCATCCACGTGACTCTCCTCTATTGATAACCATTCATCTATTTTTCCTTCCAAAGTAGAACTCTCCTCTCCATCTGCGCTCAGTAAACTGCTATCTTTCAAGTGGTCTTCCTGTGTCCGCTTTGCCCACATGTCTTTAAGATGTGGCACACCTTCTCGACTAGTGAACTCCTCTGTCACCTCAAACTGTCTGTTCTGTATGAGAACACAAGCCTGTCCCAGTCCCTCCACTGCCAACCTCTGAAGACCAGACAAGCTAAGCAGGAGGAATGCAACTGCAGCTACTGCATCTCTCTCATTTTCTGCTAAACCGATATCCAACGCAAGCAGACTGCTGAAGGTGTTTGCATTCATGACAAGGGGTTCTTGGTAGGCCAGAGGCAGAAGGCCTGCAGGGCTGAGGTGAAGGCACCGTGACACATCCAGGTGTTTCAGCTTGGAGCATTGGCGGCAAACCACCCTTATCACTCTCTGATCACAAAGAGTTCCAGCCAAGGAGAGGAAACGGAGACGACGTTGGCTGCCTAGGAGCTCACACAGCACTGATGCAGATATATTCTGTGCGCCACTAAGATCCAGAGACTGAAGATTCTGTGCAAGACAGAGACAAGTGAGTGAAAATAAGAATTGTAAGAGCTTTGCATGTATTGTCAGGCAAGATTAACAACATTCACAATTTGTTTGCATGTTTTTACAGCATTTGCAAGGCAGCATTTTACTAACATTCCCCAAACATTCTGGTTAGGGTAGGGTTTGTTCTATTTTATTATGTTAATTACAATATATACACTGCTATTCAAAAGTTTGGGGTCAGTTAGATTTTTTTTATTAAGCAAGGATGCATTAAATTGATCGAAAGTGACAGTAAGAACTTTTACATTGTTACAAAAAAAAATTCTATTTCAAGTAAATACTGTTCTTTATAACTTTCTATTCATCAAATAATCCAGAAAAGAATGCATCACAATTTTCACAAAATATCAAGCATAACAGTTTTCAATATTTCAATATTAATAATAAGAGGAAATGTTTCTTGAGCACCAAATATTAAAATTATTTCTGAAGGATCACGTGACACTGTAAACTGGAGTAATATTTTAAACTGAAATATTTCCCAATATTCCTGTTTTACTCTATTTTTGACCAAATAAAGGCAACTTTGGTGAGCATAAGATACTTTAAAAACATTAAAAAAAATCTTACCAATTAATATTATATATATTTATTATATAGGATTTGATTATTTACTAATTTTATTTTAACTGTTTTTTCCCCCCATAAATATTATCTATCTGCTTTGTCACATTTAATCATTAAAGTTGAAAAATATCCCACTGATGTATGATAGATTGTTCAGCATTCAAAATGTAACCAACAGTGATGTTATTTTAATATTTGCATACTGAATTTTTTATCCTCCTTGCACATATTAAATAAATGATCAGGGATGGCTTCCACTGCACGATGACTGTGATAAATTTTGTGTGCAACTGACTGAAAACAACAACAGTATATTATTTATCAAAGCTTACCTAAAACTTAAAACACTATTCTTTTGCTGCTTTGCCGGCACTGATATTCACCAATGGAAATTCTGATCTAATTGGCGTATCTGGTATTTGCTGTCTGTTAGGGTGACTTTAAAGTTCACTGAAGCCTTACAAGCACATCTGTATGTTTGCGCAAACTGTGTGCAAGAACGTAATATACCCAAGTTAGACGGGGTGTGTGTGTTTAACCTGGCAGCGTATCTGGATAAGAGAGCAGAGGTTGGCATTGACAAGGCTGCATGCAGATGAGAGGGACAGACCGCTCAGCTGTGGGAGGAGAAGGAGGTGCAGGGCCGCACGTGTCAACAAATTACGCGAGGACAGGATGCACAACAGCTCTTCCAACAACTCACCAGCTGAAAGAGAAACACAGATAAGATAAATACTTTGATAAACACTCACTCACACATATCTACACATGCACACGTCTTTTTAATACTCACGTAATGAGCTGAAAGGACCAATGACGTATCTGAAGAAATACTGGTCCATGTATTTTTGGGCATAATCTTTCACCCACATATCCTTCATGTTCTCAGCTAGGCTTTGAAGACAAAGGCCAATCAGTGTGGAAGGTTTGTCCTCATCATCAGCCCATTCATTCTTGCATTTTTTCTTCTTCTGACCTTCCCTCTCCGGTGTGGGCTCAAGTTGCCGGAACAAGGGCATATTTGACCCTGACAGTTACTGACATAGATAAAGACAATAAAAGCATTTATCATGACATGAAGCACAATGGCCTTACAGAACCACACCTCCCCTGTAAAGATCTGTGCTCACAGCTCAAGCCATAGTTTAATACTCATAAATATATGAGAAAACCTATTTTAAAATATACAATTGACCAAAATACAACAAAACAGTAGGTGTACTGAATCATAAACTGAAAATATGAGTGTTAAATAATAGTAAATTAAGTTAGTTAGCTAAAAAATAGGTCTTACCAACAGTTTGAAGATCAGTTTTGTGCTCCTTGGCAAAGACATTACCTTAATATTCAGTCTAAACACAAATCCATAAGTTTGAAGTCCATAAATGTATTATTGAGGCCGTAGTAACGAGAAATCACTGACAATATAATATCACTTAAAAATTAACTACTGTATGTCCACACGACAGACCTTTGCTCTAAACGTCTAAACACTTTCCTCGCTCCAGTTTTTTTTACAGGTTTGACAAATTTAGCAATTTTGTATAAGGAAACAGTCGCCAGTTGTTTGCAGACCGTAAACAATTTCTATTTCTCCTTTTCCCGTTTGTTGAAGTTGAAATCAAATCAAATCAGCACTTTCGTGTAGCACGAGCGCCACCTAGTGGAGATCACTTCTTCTTCTTCTGACTTTTAATGGCGGTTGGCAAACAACTTTTTAGTGTGCATTACCGCCATCTTCTGAAATGGAGTGTGGATCAGAATAGCTTACATCACCCGCTACAAAATAAATAAAATTAAAAATAAAATTAAAAATTAAAATAAATAAAATAAATAAATAAAACTATTAATATTAATACATAATACATTTTAACAATAACTAAACTCTATATCCTTCTAATAAGCCCAGTTTTTACGCAACCGGGAGAAGGTATGTGTACATTTAAAAGATGCATATCTACCCCTAACTCCCCTAAAAGCCAAGGTGGGACACTGGATAATGGCACAGTGGGGCTTAACATTATATCCCTATCTCATTGACAGCATCTCCTATTATCCAACCAAAGCTCTTAATCTGTCGTCTTTCCTATTCTTGACAAGGTTGTAACACCTTCTGAGTCGGGTGATTTTCCTTATGCCCTTTTAAGTTTACCCAGTATGTTAATGCTATGATCTGATTTCTTCTAATATTCAATGGCATTTCATTCATTTCTACTTGTAATGCTGCTGGGGTTGTTTTAAAAGCACCACAACAGAGTCTCAAAGCCTGATATTGAATTACATCCAACTTTTTTTAGTAATGTTCTTGAAGCAGACTGATAAATTGTACATCCATAATCAAGAACTGCCGTAATTAATCCAATGTATACTGCTTTCAATGAGATCCTTGCACCCCACTCTCTACCTCTCAAACATTTAGTATTCTTTTACATTTTCCAATTAAGTTTTTTGTCAAACCATATCCCAAGATACTTAAAACACTTTGCTCTCTCTAAATTTTTCCATAAAGTTTAATCTGTTCCTAAATTGTCCTTTTTGACAAACAGAATACTTTGGTCTTTGCCACTGAAACCCTAAAACCCCATTCCATCCCCCAACACTCTACTTTCCCTATTGCCTCTTGCATTTTCCTCACTATATATTCTTTATTTCTTCCCCTTTTCCACAAAACGCCATCATCTGCAAATAAAGCAACACTTATAGATCTACCAACTTTACAAAACACTTCATTCATCATAACTGAAAACAGAACTGGACTAACCATACTCCCTTGATGAGTTCCATTTTCCACCAAATACTTACTAAATTCTTTCCCTATTCTTATTGCTATCCACTTTTCAGTTAAAAAGTTTTTAATCCAACTATGCATTCTTCCTCTTATTCTGAAATAACTTAATAATTAGTCCTTGTTTCCACAACATATCGTATGCCTTCTCTACATCAAAAAATACAGATACTATACTTTCTTTCTTAATTTGAGCTTTTCTAATTTCACTCTCTAAACATAGAGCCGGATCTATTGTGCTTCGTCCCTTTCTAAATCCGCTCTGGTAATCCTTTAATAGTTCCTTTGTCTCTAAATAATACTTTAATCTTTCATTTATCATTTTTTCCATAATTTTCCCTATATATGTGATGTCAAAGCAATCGGTCTATAACTTTCTGCCAAAATCAGATCCTTACCTGGTTTACATAGGGGACAATAATTGATTCTTTACACTGTTTTGGCAAACACCCCACTTCCCATACCTTATTATACAGTATAAATGTAATAATATTTCTTTACTCCTATCATTTAAATTCTTTATCATACAATAACTTTTTTGATAATTCCCTGGCATTGTTTTTCCTGATTTTCTTATAACATTATTCAATTATCCTATTGTAAACATCATATTTATAGCACTTTCACTGTCCCTATCGTCCTGTATTGCTTTACATTTTCTCTTACTGTATCTTTTCCTCGTTACTCAAATTCCCATTACTATGTATTTTAACAAACGTCCTTGCCAACAACTCTGCTTTACCTTTGCTTTCTATTACTTTCTCTCCATCTTTCATTATAGGATAACCATACTCTTTTTTTATTGCCTGACATTATCTTAATCATACCTCATACTCGATCTAATGATGTACTTCTTCCTAAAGATTTACAATACTTCCTCCAAAAATTCTTTTTAACTCTCTGTATTGTTTTCCTAACTACAGCCTGCTTTCTTTTAAATTCAATTCAATTCTGAGAGTTATGTGTTTTTTTCAAGACTTTAAATGCCTTATTTCTATCTTTAATTACTCCACCAAGAAACTATTTTCTTTCTACTACCACCTCTTTTTGGTATCAACTCTTTTGCTGCTCCTAGAATAATACTACTTATTTATGCATTGAGATCTTCAATTCCCTGATTAATACTAACCTCCTTTAATTTTCCTTCAGTTAATATTCTATACTTGTTCCAATCTGCTTCCTCAAATTTCCACCTTCTTTCTCTCTCTTCCTTTTTCCTGGAGATCACTTGTTATGTGTTGCACTAGTCGTTTTAATGAAATACACCAATGAAGTAGAAGATAAGGAAGCTATTTTGGTTCATGCTATGCTATATTTTCTCTTCAGTGATCAGTGTTCTGTTCATTAAATATTATTATATCATTTGTTTTAAAATAGTATCTTTCTATCTTTCAATATCTGTATGTAGCACTTTATGTCGATATTTCAATATATCAGGGATATATGGGAAAATTCTACTGTATATACTGTAAAGGACAAGGATGATGCACAATGAGCTTTCCCCCCGTCAATATAAAAATTTTCAATTAAACTAAAAGTAGGGTAGGCAATTTTTCATAAACACCTTATACTGGTTGAAACTCTCTTATAGCAATCAATAATAGAAGTGGTGTAAATATTTTTTTAAAACTTACATGTATCCTCTGTGGAAGTCTCAAGACCATTTTTTTTTACATCCAATCATTGAATTTGGTCGATACGATTCGTCCTACCTGCCTGTCAGCATGTGTTTGCATACCTTCGCGCGTCAGGTCTTAAAGTGACAGCAGCCTGATATTCCTGCTGCCAATTTTTAAGATAATGTTAAAAATACCTATATGGCAGTTTTTCCTCATAGTATCAATGTAAAAATGCTTAATGTCAAGCCCTGGATACAATGTCCTACCTGCCTGTCAGCATACGTTTCCCATTCGAGAGCGGTAACTTCAACATTGTGTCAGCTATGATGCAGCGGGAACTCCTCCCTTCTCCACTTTTGTTGAAATCTTATAAGCTAACGCCAGCTTGCAACAGCTGGCCAACTGTCGCGAAGTATGCAAATACTGACAGGCTCGCAGGCAGTATAAAATGCATGGGCGCGACAATTGTGTCAGAATCTCTTTCTTCATGCTGCCATCGTGGAAGCTGTGCCTGAGGACTAGCAACTTTTTCTCAACGCATCTGATGGCTTTACTTTGCCAGATTTGTGCGGGCCCCATCGACCCGCCCGACAACCATGAGTTCTGCGCCGTCTGCCTGGGCCTTGCCCACGCCGAGGCGGCCTTCATGGACTTCATGTGCGTTCACTGCGCCGACCTGCACTTTAAGAGCCAGGAGTGAATTGGCTCGCGCTATAAGGGACACAAGGCCTACGGACACAAGGCCTACTGCCGCCAGCGAGCCGCTGGTGGGTCAACCTCCGCCCCCGAAGATGACGACGAGACCTGGGGCCGTCATCCTCTGCCGTCACCACGCCCACCTGTCCTTTTCACGGATGTGAGCTTTCGCCCTTAACAGGCATCTGTGGTTAACCATAGCTGATCTGAAGGACGCGGACCGCAAGACGCTTAATGCTCCAATCACTCCCTCCGGCCTCTTTGGTGACGCCGTGGAGTCGGTCACGGAGCGTTTCTCTGAGGCTCAGAAGCGCGCGAAAACGATGAGCCACCCCGTCGCTTGTTACAGCCCTCGTCGAGGTCTCACTCTTCCTTGGCACCTCGCTCCGCTCAGAGACCTACTAGGCAGCCCGCGGCGCCTCGAACCGGATGTTCACCGCAGGCAGTGGACGGGACCTGGGAAGAAGCGTCAGGGACAGAGGAGAAGCCCGTGCCACGTCAGCGTGCTGTCCTCGGCTACCAAGACTTCATCCTGGCGGACCATCCAAGAGGAGGAGAGAGTTTGCTGGAGGCCCCGCGTTCTGCATCATGTCCACTATGTTCCTACAGGCGACATTTGCAATGTTTGTTTGAATGCTGTGTCTGTTTGTGTGAGTTCCACAATAAAAACACATATCCCTTCACAAAAAGAGCTTTTTCCTCCTCATACACTCAACACTGTGGCTGGGGCAAGGCTCCAGTCTACACACATCGCCTATGACAACAGCGGCCGTAGAACTAATGCGACCGCTCTGTCATTTCCTAGACTCGTGGAGAGCTATTCTGGGCATTTCACCATGGCTACTGTGAATAATTCAACTGGGTATTCTCTTCAGTTCATATGCAGGCCACCCCGCTTTGAAGGTGTGGTCCCGTCACTGACATTGCCCCAAAACGCCCCCGTTCTGAGACAGGAAGTTCACAGTCTGCTCGCAACAGGAGCTCTAGAGCATGTCCCTCCCAGGAGAGCGTTTTTTACAGTCGCTATTTCGTGGTGCCAAAGAAGGATGGAGGACTCCGTCCGATTCTGGATCTGAGACCCATCAACCGAGCACTTCACAAGGGCGCGTTCAGGATGACAACACTGAAACAGATCCATCCCAGGGACTGGTTCGCTTCAGTGGATTTGAAGGACACGTACTTCCATATTCAAATAGCGACGGACCACAGGCACTTCCTGAGATTTGCTTTCGAAGGCACGGCATACCAGTATTCAGTGCTTCCGTTCGGGCTGGCCCTAGCCCCTCGCACTTTTTCCAAGTGCGTGGACGCAGCGCTTTCTCCCCTCAGAACGAGCAGTATGAGCATTTTAAATTATCTGGACGACTGGCTGATTTTAGCCCACTCAAGGAATGTGCTAATCAGTCAGGTGGAAACGCTGCTTCGCCATCTGGATACGCTGGGACTGCGTGTGAATGTGCAGAAGAGTGTGTTTATCCCGAGTCAGACTATAACATATCTGGGCTTGTGTTTCGACTCGGTGGAGAT